GGCCGCCGACAGCCGCGCCGACCTTGGCCTCACCCCGGGCGGTGTCCGGTCAGCTGACGGGACGGCCAGCTGACTGCAGACGGGGTCGGCAGGTGTCTGTCCGCAGCAGTGGGGCATCTATCGGAGGGGGCGTCGCGGAATTGTCGCGTCTGTGACAAGTTGGTGACGGCACGGAGAGTCACCAGTGGTGGCGGGATCCCCGGACTGTGACCTGAAAGTCGGACTCAGTGGCGGGAGCTTTGGAACGGTTTGGAAGCCGAGCGAAACGGGAAGGAACGAGCACCAGCGGTAAGCAGTGGCGAAGCGGAGGGGAAGGTGGCTTTTGGGTCAGGCATTACACTAAAGGTGGCCGGGTGGGACAATATTTTCTAGTAGTTAATGCGCCCAAATGGCTTTTTAACCATAAAAGAATGGCCCCCGAGGCGTCGCACAAGAACATGTGGCGAGGCTAGCAGGGGAGTCCCAGCCACCAAATTTCTGAACATGTTGCATTTAGCTTATTTTTTCTTGACTGTTAACCAAGAACAGGCAACTAGTAGAGCACACTCCATCTACGCTAGTGACGCAATAAACCGTATGTCAAAGAGGAACACATAGCATCCAGTACAACATGTAACATCCGGGGATTTAATAACAAGTCTCGGCGCTCCCGGCTCGACAATTAAGGAAAACGTAAGAAAGACGGCGTGCGGTTTCGGCAGGACCAGAGCCATGCAAAAGATCTCTAAAGTTAAACAGCAAATGCGTAAATCAGTTGCGGCCAAGGTCAGCAAGCATAAGAAAACTAAGAACCATCCGAAGTACAGTTGAATGAATTAAGCGTTTGTAAATTGTAACAATCGCACAAGTCGGAGGGACATTTGCCTGGTCAGTTTCATGTGAGTTTTGAGCTGAATCTTCAATGGGTCCAATCAGCTAAGGAAAGCTTTTTGCCGAGTGCACTTCTGGAACCAGGACTATTTATAAGGGTATGTTGTGGATATGTAGTGCTTTACGGCATTTAGCGTATTGATGAATATGGGTCATGAAACAAAGTTACATTCGAAGCAGGTTACAGTTCGCGCGAAGTGAGAGCTGTTGGCAATTATTTGCATTGGTTTCAGATTTGTCGGTTATGTCAAATGTGTGCACAAAATAGTTGGAGATGATATCCTCAACGATAGTATTTCACCCTGGAATGGAAAACATTTATATGGTCCCATATTTAATGGTCCCATATTTCCTTATTTGAAATACGGGGCCACCTGGTGTTCAATAACTTGAGGCTAAGAAAAGTTGTGATTGACTGCAGATCACTGAAGTATGAAAAGTTTTGCTCTTTTCACTCTCGATTCGCGAACGTGTGTGCTCTGGTGCTGAGTATGTAGACTAATCAAGTTTAACATTGTTATGTAGCACGTGGCCTGGGCGAGTGCGATGTCCGTGCATAACGTGTGGTTGCGTCGCATGTCCATGTGTCTTTCATATTCCGTCCACTTTTTTGTGCTGCACGTTGTCTTTCCGCAGTTACTTTCCGCCCATGTCCAAGTAGATGCATGTATAGACCACATTTGTACACAATACACCGTATTTAATGGCTTAGAAAACAATAAGACTAAAATTCAAAAGCTTTGATTTTTGGACATTTTTGCAAAGTAACCCTGTTTGAATTCCAGCATTGCACGTTCATCTTAAAATATCAAGCAGTTCCTACAAGTTGTCCCGCCAAATGCCGGCCAAGTTCATACAAGCACTTCGTCATCGCTGCTCAGCTGTGCGGAGGATGCCGCAGAAAAGACATTATTCTCGTTTCAGGAGCAAAGAAGCGGGTAGTTTCCCTCGCTCGTGCCGATGGGGTCGGCTCTGACCGATTCCCAGGCGCCCAGTCCGCCCCGGCTGGCCGTTCTCGCTCCAGTCGTCCTTCCCCACGCGGAGCCAGTGACCAGCAGCAATGATGCATATGTTGCTATCTGTGGCGGTAAGTGTATTTCCTGGGGATGGCGGTGCGCTCAAGATGGTGAGCTCAGATCATGCAGAGTGGATGAAAAGACGGACTAGAGTGAAGGGAGCGGTCGGGTTCTATTTTACCGGATGTATTTTGGCTCCGAGAGCAATTTCTGCGCCCTAGCGTGATGCTGATGAGTCCATCCCGCTCTTGCGCTGATCGTGGACCTAGCATTAATCTGGAAGGAAACAGACCATGCGTAAGTGAAACCACGTCTCTGTGACGGGGGGGGGGGGGGGGGTGGAACAAACCTGGGGGACAATCTTACGCTTTTATTGCTCATGTAGACAATGTTTAATGGTAATAGCTCCGTTTGGGTCCGTATCATAATATTCCCAACCAAGGGCGTAATTTCACAAAAGGTGTTGGGGCGAGGGCTTTAACACTGAAAAAACCTAATCTAGTCCCGCAAGATGCCAACAGACAGATTTCTCCCAAAATTTGGTGCACTTTCTTCCCAAAGTCGGGGGCTGGAGCCCAAGTTTGGGGCCAAAGACCCCCCTAATTATCGCATCTCATGATAATATATATATATATATATATATATATATATATATATATATATATATATACACATTAGTCAGATCAGGGCTCATAACGCCGATAATGCAGATTTGATGCGTGTCTTGATGTGTGATGTGTGCTAACTTTAAATCGCTTGCATGTGTAAGCAATGCCTGACGCGCGGTGCGCGGTGCCTGTTAAGTTGAAATCGCTTGCATGTATAACTGATGCGCGATATGTGATGCCTGTTTATTTCAACTTGCTTACATGTTTGAATGAAGCGTGATGCGGGATGCCTGTTTACTTGAACTCGTTTGGATGCACACATATTTTTTGCGCATTCTACTTCTTAGTTAGACATGTGCTGCGTCGTAGTAATAGCTGGAAATTACTCCTTGTTTAATCCCTGAATATTGGTGTACTGTAAAAACTGAGGCTCGCTGTTAAAAAACCTGAAAATGAGTAGGATCATCGGCAGGCAATTTTCGATTCACTTCTGGTCTCCGTTTCGATAAACACATGTTGCCGAAACATCAACACATATATGTCTCCTCCATTCTCCTGGTTGTTCTCCGAGGAATAAAACTGTTAATACTGTCTTATTTTTGTGAATAATGTTACTCACACATGCACTTAATAACTTACACAAAAACCAACCCGTTTCGTTACTGTAAACCTTTCTTATGTGGTAGTTTCTGGTGCCCATTTCCAATTTATTGATAACGGGAACCGCATGATGCATCATCCAATAACTTCTTATAGGACAGAATAGGTCACTAGCCCAAAATGACCGAGGTTAAGTTCTGTTTGTAGGAACATACTGCCTAGCATAACCTTGAACGCCTATTCAAATGCAGAACTCAAAGCAGTCTTGCATGAGTTTTGTCACCATGACCTTCGAAAGGTAAAGAAGGCCACTGGCCTTAAATGAGCATCAGTGACCTTTTGCTTAGAACACGTATCTAGGTTCTGGGGGCTCTTTGTACACCAACCCGTAGTCTGACCCTATTTGGCCTTATTTGACCCGAGAGTCATGACCGTGAACCCTAAATTTTGACACAGACGAGTTCATGGGCAGGCCAGTACACGCCATGAATTTGGTGTCTCCAGCTCTCTTAATTTCTGAGATTTAAGGAAGGTGTCAAATTAACCCCCGCCCAAGCGAAGGGTATTCTTCAACCGACCACCCGGGCGCGTGTTAAACGCTGATTTAAAGAGAAATTTTTGCCTCAGATTCGTTTGGTCTGTGGTGGAATTTTAGGGGGATGAACAAGACATGACTCTGTCCATGCTTTCAGGAGAGGGGTAGTCTGCACCCAGCTGTCTCCCCCCCCCCCCCCGCTCTGCCTGACGCCACCTTGCGCTTGACAACAGAGTCGAGTAGGGCGATTTTAGAGTGATCCACACCATCAGCTGGTTATAATGCCCTGCCTCGCGCAGAATAATTATCAGGTAGTCAAGTGCTGCGTTCAAAATCGCATTGACATACAGTAACTCAGCTGTCTCCGAATCGCAAGATGCTTCTCTAAATCCCCATCAGACCCAGCCAGAGGCAAAAGTGCGCTATCCGGACCGATACAATGTGCGTCGTGGGCGCGCATACCAGATTTTTGAAGTTCTTTGTAGGTGTGTGGTTGTCGGTTGACGTGTGTTTCTGGCGAGCAGAATGGCATTTTAACCAAAATGGTGGCAAGTGTATGTGGGAGTTCGGGAGGTTGAGGAAGCTCAAAACGTACGTGGGGGAATTCGCATGACGAACTAGATACTGTTTGTACGTCGGTATAGTGCTGCTGACATCTCTCGCGGAAGCTGATCGGCCCCCCTTCCTTCCCTATTTAACTTCCTTCTTAACTTCTTTAACGTCTTTCCTTCTTCTTTAACCTCCGCACCCGAATTAAAGTTTGTGCTTCTGGGTTAATTTTTTGAAATTATCTTTCGCTTAATGTCAGGCATGAGAACAGGCCATATTATGGTAACGGAACTGGCGACTATCCGCCAAGTGCCAGCCCTTTCATAAGGTGTTCAGGGAAAGAGTACTGCTTCACTCATGATTATAAAGTGCTGTCTATTAAACCGGACGTTTTCAGATTCTTTAGCTCATGATGGTCGAAAAATGGGGCAATATTAAAAGGGATGAATGTGTGGCATTTAACGTGATGCATTTTATTTCACGGCAAACTGTTCTTAATGCCAACTGCTCCCAAACCCTCAGATGACCGGGATGCTGCTGCCTACGAAATAAGCTGGCTATTGGCGCCGTTGCCGTAACCATGGTAACACCTGTGTGCAACCAGCTCTGCGGAGAAACCGGAGCATTTTTCGCCTCCCGGTGTCTCAGACTTGCCGGGCGTTGTCATGCCGCCCGGTCTTCGACACGCCGCCTCTGAGACATGCCGTACGTTCGGAGGGGCGGGGTCTGTGTTATCTGGCCGTTTGATTGGCTGTGGCGGCTGATGACGACAAGTGATAGGCGCCCGGCCGGCCGCCGGTCTCGCCCAGCTGTTGACTGGCGCTAGTGAGCTGCGCGTGAGAGGTGTCGGGGCGCGAGCTGTGATCCGCGCCGCGGGCAGCTGTGACACGTGACCGGGGTCATGACCTCGCTGTCGGGCGTCGGGCCCCCCTCCGTGATCGTACATAGCCACAGCGCCGCCAGTTCTCAGAACGTGATCAGCTCCACGCAGCAGCCCTCCTCGACTGTTGGTGAGTTGCCGAGCCAGCACTGAATGTTGAGCGAGCGTATGCAAAACATGTGTGTGCGTGTGCGTGCTTTGCGTCATGCTGGACTTTGCGGCTCTCAGGAACGGGTAGATTTCCCCCAAAAGCACACGAAACTAAGAGTTTCAAGGTGTCTGCAGCAGGGTCTGGTCAACACGTGGTTCGCGGTGCGACGTCCACGTCTGCCACGTGGTAACTCGCACACCGTTGACGTGCGTCTGGACTCTGCCCTCAGATCCAACCTCAGCCTGGCCTCAGTCTGGCCCTTAGATGACCGTCTCACGTGGTCAGGGGTGACGGATTGGGGGAGCGGGAGGGGGTGACTGCTACCCTATTCCCGGTCAACATTTATCATTTAACCGACGACGTTGCATGAAAAGAAAGTTGATAAAAATTGCGTGTGCCCTCCATTTCTTGCCTCTCTTGAGAGGTTGCGCTGTCCCGGCACCGGGAAGGCAGTTATGGCGCTTGGTTTCTATAGGTAAGGCATCCCCTGAGCCGTCTGTCGTCCACCGAGGGTCATCTATCGTAGTCATGCGCTGACAGGTCCCGGCAGGCAGATCTCCAGCCGGCGTTACACATGATCGCCGATGTAACATGGGGATGGGGCGTAACAGCGGACTCTGGCGGCCTGGTGGTCACGGACGGCACTGCGGTCCGCTTGTCACGTGGTCCGTCCCACCGGCGCGGTGACGAGGCTCGCAGGCCCTCGCCACCCTGCATGCTGCAAGTTGGCCGTCGGCTCACCGTCGGCCAGCGGGTGACCGAGGTCAGGTCACGGGCGCCGGGCGGCCGCCCGAGGCCGGACCGTGCCGGCCGGCCGTGCTCTCGAGGTCAGACCGCAGATCGCTCCGTCCTCCCTCGCCGGACGTGTTTGCATAGTCGCGCGCGCGGACTGGTCCCGGGAGAGGAGCGGAGAGTCGAATTTGCCAAACACCGCTAGTCAATGTTGTCACACTGGCCGGGCGCCGCGAGCTGGAAGGCGGGCGGGCCGCCGTAAGGTGCACGGTCAGCACATCCCCAGCTACGGCTGCACGCCTCCTAAGCTAGCCCCCGCGGTATGTGTCTCTTCCCCGTACTGAGTTTATAGCATGTATCAACGATTACGTGGCTAACTAAATATTGACCGTTTCAAATTTCAGTACGCACGTAAAAATGAGGTCGAGAACGTGTGATTTCATTCTACGAGACGTAAAAACATGCGCGTGCGTGCGTCGCGTTAAAACAAGGTTTTCAGTGAGCATTTTTAACCTGAGCCCTTCCCTCCCCCCCCCCCCCCCGGAATCGTGAAATTCAACCTACGCCTCCGTAGCGTATCTCGCCCCACCGGCTTCGTGGATGTTCACCTTTGACCCTTTTGTGGCGCGCCTTTGACCCTTTTGAGAAGAATCAACTCCGGAAGGGGCCTGGCCCAGGATTACTCTTTCCTGGGACGCTCTTTCCGCGTTACAGTTCCACGAGGGATCACTTGGGAAGATGCTAATAAACCGACAGGCGTGGCAAAGCCACACTGTAGCATGTGTCCGGGGTGTTATAAGTAGCAGTGCAGCTGATGAAATGTTGTCGTGTCACCCCGCTGTGGGCCGTGCTGTAGCCCTGATACCGTTTGAGCGCGAAGTCGGTGTTGTCTGGTAAGTTGCATCAACTGTTGGGTCTTAAACTAAGTGCACCGCATTTTTACCGAAATGTCTCTAAATAAACATCGCTCGCGCACTATATGGTGGGCATTGTCCGAGATGCATAAGCTCAGAACAAGCTTACAAGACGTGATTTATAGACATGTGTGTGTGTTAAACATTACAAGAAGTCTTCCAGCTGTTAAGAGCAGCCAACCGTTCCAGATTTTTGCACGAGAGAGAGAGAGAGAGAGAGAGAGAGAGAGAGAGAGAGAAGAGAGAGAGATAGAGAGAGAGAGAGAGAGAGAGAGAGAGAGGGGAGAGAGAGGACGGATGGGAGGTGTTGGGGGTATCCTGTTATGTTGGAATTTTTTTGGAGTTACTGGGAGAGAGAGAGAGAGAGAGAGAATCTGCGATAGAGAGTCGATCCTCGATAGGAGGAGATGCTGAGGGTCTGTACTCTAGTAGGAGCTCGGATCCTCTCCTCTTCGAGGAGAGCATTCGCTCTCGCGAGAGAGAAGGAGAGAGAGAGAGATGCGAGCTGGGTACAGGGCTGCTTGGTCCAGACCACGAACCGAGGTCCTGACTCTTACGAACTGTTGCAGGTGAGATAGACCTGCACCAATCAACGTCCATATCCCAGATCGACTCATCGACAACCAACCAGCTGTGTGGTATCTGCAACGATAAAGCAACCGGCAAGCACTACAATGCCATCTCGTGCGATGGCTGTAAGGGGTTCTTCCGTCGATCCGTCAGGAAAAATCAGAAGTATAACTGCAGGTGCGGATAACGGTTCACATATATGGGCTGCCTAGGAATGCATTCTACGTTGTCTTTGGTCGCTTCGGTTGTGGATGGTTGCATCATAATTATCTTACTGCAGTATGTTAAGCCATGGCCTCTAACACAACCACAGGGCTTCTTTATTTGGTGAATCCGTCTGCTCTGATTCGCCGAGGTCGTGGGCATGCTTGGCCCGTAAAGGCGTATCGTCAAAACCATTACGCTCTGCTTCTCTAAACTCAAAAATGCGGAACAGATACTAGAAAGGCTGCTAGGTTTTCCTGTCCGCTGTCAGGTTGACTCGTTGGTTGCATCAGATTGGTAGACCTATTACAGTTATACGCGTCATAGTCCGATACTGAATATCTTCAATGTGCGTAGTGGTTTTTACCGTGGCGTTCTCCATCCATTCCCTCATAGGTACGAGAGGAACTGTTTGGTCGACAAGGAAAAGAGAAATCACTGCCGATACTGCAGGCTCCGGAAGTGCTTCCGCGCTGGCATGAGAAAAGAAGGTAAGATGAGGGGGTGTTTTATGAATTTTGTGGCGAACTAACGTGTTCCTGATGCGCCCTGGAACGGTCATTGACGCCCGATGTTTCGTCACCACGACTTTTTTGGCAACCTGCATTGTGTTACCGATTAGAGGCATTATGAAACGCTAAATTTACACCCTAGAATGCTAGCATTTTTCCACACCTCCTTTTTAACCGCAACGCTTTTTAACCGTAACAAATATCGTGTATTAAAAGAATAGCCAATTCCTCGCGTTATGCTGCGTCCTGCCATCCGTGATGCTGTGGATTAGATATTGCGCTACAGGTTGGATGTAGAAATGGTGCCATCTTTCCTGAAATCTGGTCGTAAAACCAATGCGGTGCAAAAATACTGCAGTGTGAAGACCGAGCATCTGAGAAAAAGAAAAGCACTTTGTACATCAGGAGGAGATGCTGCAAAATTGGTCATAGGTGGGCAGAATATAATTTTTGGTGGGCTTAACTCGGTACATCAGGAGGAGATGCTGCAAAATTGGTCATAGGTGGGCAGAAGATAATTTTTGGTGGGCTTAACTCGTTGAAACGTTTTGTGACATGCGACACGGCACGACTGTATATACTGATTCCCAAAAGCGCCACGTAATAGCAGACTTTGCATTCGGTTTAAGGAAATGTTTCAAATCCGGAGATATTGAAGACCTTGCACAACATTGATTGAGAGGCAATTGTCGGCCGATATATCTCGAAATAATGCACCTCACGAACGCCAGATTTGAACGGCTCGAGCATTACATTTTCATTGACCTTGATCGCCGCATAGTTTATGAAATGACGGAATTTGAATGTCGTTATTAGGACGCCATGAATGCTAAGATACCCCTGAATACTCTCCCCGAATTACCCTCCCCGAAATGCTCTCCCCATTTTCGCGGGTGTGTAGGTCAGAAGCAAGAGGGATTTAGGTCTTAAGAAGGGCAGAGCTGTGAGCTGCACGGAAAGGCCTTCAAGATGACTTTGCAGTTCAAACCCCATAGAGATGTGGAACACTCCCTTTAAAGATTTATCGGTTCAGGTACCGTGTCATTGGCTAGCTTTACTCAAAGATGGAGCAGATCCTTGTTTCAATGGATGCAGGCTTGCGAAATGCCTAAACGATTTAGTGTGGCTATGAGCAGTGTAGTAGCCAGACTTTGCCTATGGGGTCGCACAGGCGCCTTGTCCTATTTTAATCGAAAAATGTGATTTTGACCCATCGCTCCCCTCGTTTCCGCTGCTTCCTCGCTACCAAGGATTCCCGCTCCACCACACCAATGCCGGCCATATATTTTCCACGATGTAATTGAATGATGAGACAGTTATGGCGATTGGGTGACAAATCCTGAGGAATATTTGTTGGGCAACTCAGTTAGAGTTGAAGCTCCTTCGTACAGCCTTGGCGCGTGCGGCAGTGCTGGTTATTTCTCGTCAGAACAGGGGCCTTTCGGGCCCAAATATCTCTTGTACGCAATTCGTCAAATTGTAAAGTTTATGGAGCGTAGAGAGGTCGTGCTGCGGGCACCGGCTGCGCTCCTGGAATAATCAGCCATGGGAGATGGCACTGGGTTATGAGTCAAGGCAATGGTTACTGTCAAAATCACTTTGTGAAAGCACAGATTATGGGATAAATGCTCAGATTAACTACGGCTTTTAAATCTAGGTGATGAAGCCATTTGCCATGCCTTGTGTTCCTGCTCTCACGAAACGTGTATGGAATATGAAACGTGTGTACCGGTTCATCGGTTCATCATAGACATGTGACCAGGTAGAGGCTAAATGCATATCATATCGTATTCTAATAGTGCATATCGTAAGACTTCGTACCATGCGCCCTAAGATGAGAAATGGGAAGGAACTTTTAAAAACATAGTTACAAGAAATGAAGGCTTCGGCTTCTGCTGTCAGAGCTTATTTTTAGTTTGGACACTGGTGTGCCTTCATTCATGTATCATCGTGCGTTATATTGTGGCCGCCAGCAAAAAAATGAATGCAGAATCACCGCGAGTCCGGCATCTTGACAATGAGCGCCAGGCACGTGGTATGGTAAACTACGCAACTGTCCCTGCTCCCAAATCAGTTTTGCAAACACAGATTGCAAAAGTTCACACCGGCCGGAGCCTTTGTAAAAAGCCTGACTTACATGAATCTGATGTCATTTTCTACCCTAGACGTAGTTAAGCCTCTAGTTCCCGGGAAGTTCACCACCGTTACCGACTGTTCAGTCCAGCAGAATCCCGGCTGCTGGCGTCCACAGCAAATGATCCTTTCTCAGGCCACGAAAGGTACATTATTTCTGTAGGTACCGTATTTCTGTACCTACTGCTGTAGGTACATTATTTCCCATCGTAAGCGTGCGCAGTGACCGAAGAAACTGCGATCGCCGCCATGAAAATCTACCACCCATCCAGCCTTAGGACTTCTATATCGGGCTGGCCGGACTCACGTGGCGTCTCCCCCGCTCTGTCGTGTATGGGCCGAGTCGCAACAGAATGCGACCAATAAAGCAGTTAGCAAATCCCGAGCTTTCCTTGTTCAAACGTATTTCTCGTACAAAGATGCGCGACTCCTTATTGGTTACTGGGTGACATGCTAACAACGTGTCACCATGTTGGCTACCTATTTTTCTCTATTGCTGTTTTTTTCTGTAGTGCTACAATTATTGGATATTATTGCTTCGCTGCAGAACCTATGCGTCACCTTTCGCGTCCTTGTTCTAGGAGCGTCATAGCAGTATACCTTTTTCACACCTTATATGGCGAATTTCGCAGGGACGGCTGGAATAACCACACTCGGAGCTATGCAAAACGATAAGTCGCGTAATCAGTTCTTGTCATGCCAGATGTCATAACCGCCAGTTAATGTGCAAGATGGTAAGAAGCTTGTTTAGTGCCTGGTGAGTTCTGAATGAACGATTTGAAAGTTCACGCTCAACACAAGACGCAAAAAACAAGAACAAAAAAAAACGCTATATTTGCCATATCACGTTGTCATAGGGTAGCAGAATGCGTCCCATGAGACTCCCGGGCTACACCACTTGTTTAAAGTTTCATTTTTTTATGATCACAGGCCTTGGCCTACTCATAGACCAGGCATCTGTCGGCTGTTTTCATTCGACGATATCTTCCGAAGCGCTATCAGTCGAGGCGTAGGCACATGGTCGCGCATGGCCTTCAGGGGGTGCGCGGACAGCCGCTTCCGGGCTTAATGATTTCCTTGGAAGTCACGTTGTATTTTTGTTCTTGCAAAAGCTCATGTTCGTTTAATTTACATTTTTACAATTTCATTTGTCGTTTTTGTCTTTCCGTTCCTGCTTTTAACCCCGGCCGGACTTGGGGCTCGGGATGTCCCTATCAATATGTTTTTAATGTCTTTTGATTTGCTGGATGCCAGGTTCTGAAATTTCACTCTCCGAAGTTGCCAATGATTTTTTTTCACGGTGTGCAAAAACTTCTTTCCGCCTGTCGATGTGCTGTCGGTCGCACTCCGCGCATGGGTGCCTTGTGTTGTATATTTGTCGTAAAGTACGCATTCTCCAGTTATATCTTGCATGGGTTTGCTGTATCGTACCATGTCACGTACAATACCAAGTCATTTTTAAAATGTTTTTTAAGAGGCCGAACCATCCAGGTTCAGGCTTGAAGTGATTTCGTATGAGGAGATATTTGTGTAGCGATACGGTGCCTTGCATGACGTGATGTGGCAAATCTTGATCGCATTAAACGACATTCGATTGCGGTTTGATAAACACTATCTATTCGGCATCGTTTGATTTGTTATCGCGTCAAGTTTAGCCTCGCAGAAGGCGGAATAAGGCCTGTGATCGCAGAACTTCACCCCTAAACGCGGTTTTGAATATGGCAGGCACATCCGCTGATGGGCTACCTCGAATGATGGAAAGCAGGCGCTAAACTCACTGGCTTTGACCAGTGACCTGGTTTGACCCTCAACAGACGATTGTAGTGATGTTATGTGACTCGCTCAGGTACACTTTTGGATGGAATAGCCGCTGCCCTCCTCTAGCGCATGCAGCTTGAGAGATTACAAGGTTCTGCGTGGAGCCTCATCCTTCTCTAGATAAGGTGAAAAACGGCCATCTGGCATGGGTTGAGCATACTTGCTATGATATCAGTGATTAGGGGCGTTAATTCCTATTTAGGCGGGAGGCTTCAGCCCTCTAGCATTGAAAGAAAGCATGTCGAATTCTGAGAAGCCCTGTTGTGAGTACATTTTGACGACAGTTTGAGCCCCTTTTTCCTGCCCAGCCCCATCTCCCTTTCTGACTTATGTTGCGAACCCACGCCCCTGTCGGTGATCAGAAACGTCGCGTAATTCCATTCGAATTCGAGTAGCTCTTCGTGGAATATCTAAACGGTGTAGCCAAGGAAGATCGGTCTACAAGATTCGCCGGCGCGACACATGAGAAACTCCGTCAGAATGACGATGGTCTACTATATGCCACCACCGGTTACCATGCGTGTCTCGTGTGCTACCACCACCACCCCGTAACCACACCGTATCGAGGAGCACGTCCGTCCCACACATTTGACCTATTAAATTTGGCTGATCTGAGCGCTCCAGCCCTACCCGGTATGGTTTATAGATTTCGCTGTGTGTTGTCTTGAAATATGCACCAAAAAGTGTCGCAGCTTAAACAGAGCGCAGGAGTACGGTCACAGCCAGGGGCGCAGCGAAGGGAGAGGCCTGGGGGCCGCCTTGGCCCGGATGTTTCGTTTTTCCACCATAGATGACTTCTAACATATGTTAAGACGCGCTCGAACAGGCGGGGGCCAGATTGACAGCCCCGAAGGTTTTTCCAGAATTATTTCCGAATGGCGCTGCGTAGCTGCGCCAAACTCTGCGCAGGTGTAGGGAATTGAATAGCGAATCTTTAGTTAAAAATTATATTTGCCTTGTAACGTCGCTGATCTATAGCAGGTCAACGTGAGGCCATGGATGTCCAGCGAAGGGCATTTTTAGGGAAT